CCATCGCTGAGGTGAAGGCCCCACGGCTTCGTTAGCGCAGCCCTCTGCTCCCAGCCCGGCTCGCTCTGTTAGCTCAAGCCTGACGCCTTTGGATTGGAGCTGGCTGGGATCCAGCTGGCTTGATGCACAGGAGGAGGGAGCGCAGGTCTGTCTGCAAAAAAGGCTCTGCAGACGTACTCCAGTCTAGCATTACCTACTGGTATGTCCGGGTGCTGGTTTTACATGGATGTTTTGAAGCCTTGCCTTTGGGAGCCAAAGGGGGGGGGTTGTGGCCGCTCTTGAGCCTGGTCTTTTTTCTGAGCAAGGTGTGTTGCAGATGACAGATTTCTCAGGAGGCACATTCTGGCCGTGGGTTTAGCAAATTCTGGACCTGGCTGAACACGATGGGCCGTTCCCTAGCTTGGACAGTGGTGGGGTTAGTCGGACGTTCTCTGCTGGGGCTAATTATGGCTGTTTCTTTTTGGTGGTTTTTTCTTTTTCCCTAGTTTGGCAACAATCCTTTCTCTTCCTTGACGGGGAATTCTGATAGCTCAAGCTCTCAGCCTTTGCGGACAGAGAACAGGGAGCCGTTACCGAACCCCTGGAGCCCCACGCCCCCGGCTTCCCAGAGCCAGGCACCCAGCAGCGAAGGGAGCACTGGCTCGGCAACCACCCAAAGCACACCGACTGTATCCAACCCCTTTGGGCTGAATGCTGCTAGCATCGGGGCTGGTACGTAAGCGAGAGAGGAACCAGAGGGTGCTGCTGACTGAATGGGTCACCCAGGCTTCCCTGGAGGGTGCTTCCCTCTGGGATTTGAGGGCCTGGGCCGTGGCTGCTCTCCAGAGGAAGGATTCTAGCCCCGTTGCAAGTGGGTTATTTCTGGTGTGCCTGGCGGAGGGTTACTTTGGGAGCTCTGATGTCCCTGCAGCCCTCGAGAGCACGGGAGGGCGGCAAGCAAAGCGCTACCGTGGAAGTCCACGGCGATACTCCGTGTTGGCCAGCGCGTGAAGTGAAGGCGTTGTGGTTACCTGTCGTGTTGCAGTTCAGGCATTGCAGCACTGTAAGGGGTTTTTTCCTTTCGTCTTCTCTTCCCTTTCCCCTTGCAGGCATGTTTAACAGCCCAGAGATGCAAGGACTCCTGCAGCAGATTTCCGAAAACCCTCAGCTGATGCAGAACATGATCTCTGCCCCTTACATGCGGAGCATGATGCAAACTCTGGCCCAGAACCCGGACTTTGCAGCACAGGTAAAAGTGTGGCGGTTGCCTTCAGTTGTCAGACAGACCGTGAGGACGATGCTTGTGAGACCGGTCTGCTTCCGTAGTTGGAGTTCCCCTTGCAGAAACCAGAGTGAAGAGAGAGAGTTTTCCTGTATTTCTCAAGGGTGTGAAGGCAGTCGCAGGACTGAACCCTGTGTCTTAGCAGAGCCCCTAACAAAAAAGGTGGCTTTCAAGGGGACGTGGGAATGGCCCTTCTCTTTGCCCGTGGCCAAGTGGCCCTGTTCAACGCTGCTGCCAGGAACTGAGCTGTCCTGTTTCGATCCCCGTTAGCGGGGCAACACGTTGAAAGCCCAGGGAGGGAGTCAGGGGCATGACTGACTGGTTCTTCGTGGCTTAGTTACGTAGGGTTTACCAGCCAGTGGCAGCAACCCTCTGACCCTACCTACGTGTGCTGTCTCTTGCTAGATCATGGTAAATGTCCCCCTCTTTGCTGGGAATCCACAGCTTCAAGAACAGCTCCGCCTTCAGCTCCCTGTCTTCCTGCAGCAGGTAAAGGCCCCTGTCTGGCCCTGTGCTGCTCTCAGCCCCGGGGCTCCCGAGCTTTTTTCCACCCTCTGTAGGAAAGGGAGTAGGAAGCATGTGGGCTCGGGTGGTTTGGGCTGTGAAAGGAAGAGGTGTGCGAGGGGAGAGAGAGAGAGAGAGAGAAAGGCAGAGCTTGTTTAGGCGAGGCAATGGGAATGAAGTCATCTAAATCACCTAAAGGTGGACTTCCAATGAGGCTCGTTAAGCTACGTGAAAACCCCTGTGCGGGCAGCCTCTCCCTGTAATGAGTTTACAAAAATTAAACCAGCTAATTGTGCTAGAGCAGCTGGGTCACTCGGGTAAATCAAATCAAATGGCTTTAATTCCAAAGGCATGTGCCCCCCTCCCAGTTCTAATCTGATTCACCCAGTACGTTTAGGAAACTTGATCGAAACGCTACCAGTATCTCTGTAGATGAGACCTGAAGGAGGAACCAGGCTCGCGGGTTCGCTCTGGCTGCGGGGCGAGAGGTGCAGCTCCTCGCTGGTGGCTGTTCCGCTTGGAAAGCTCGGGTGGGTCTGTGGCTGCCGCAGCTCTCGCTGTTTGGTACCGCTGGGTCTTTCTGCCTTTGTTCCCAGATGCAGAACCCAGACTCCCTCTCCATTCTCACCAACCCCCGCGCCATGCAGGCGCTCCTCCAGATCCAGCAGGGACTCCAGACGCTGCAAACGGAGGCCCCAGGACTAGTGCCAAGGTAACGAGCGCTGTAGAGTGAGTTTCTGCAGGCAGAGCTGACACGTTGGGGTGCCAGCAGGCAGGCTGGCTGTTGATTCATCGAGGAGATCGGCTTAGGGCGCTGTCGTGGGGTCTTCTGCGTGTGTGTGCCCGCAGGCCTCGGTGAGCTCCAGATAATTAGCGCTTTCT